TCTTTCATTTTCTCTCTCTCTCTCTCTCTCTCTCTCTCTCTCTCTCTCTCTCTCTCTCTCTCTGCTTTCTCTCTCCTCTTCTGTTGTAGTGTGTCTCATCCCGGACTCACAGGACCGGATGCACCAAAGCATCTCCCTGACTACTAATGAGACCAAAAATACACCAGCAGGTCAGGGGAAAGGCCAGACATTGTATTATACAAATTCAAAAAAAAAAAAAAATCCCAGCCTGTTAGACCAAAAGATCAGGTATCACATTTTCTAAAAGGGAGGGAAAAAGGCATGCGGGGGTGGGAGGTGTTGGGGAGTAAAGAAGAGAGACCTCAGTACAGTTCTATGCCTAATTGTTTCCCATCCTATGGGACTCGAAAACACATATGTATATATGAGTTCAGGCAATATATTTTCTGAATCTTGGTAGTTTTTCTTTATGGACAGAAAGTCAACAATGCCCAACACTTCTTTGAAATAAGCATTTAGAGGGATAAAAGGGCAATGACTCAAATCTATATTTAAGATACAGAGACACTTTTCAGGCGTGTAGTAACTACAATGCTAAAAATCTCTTTCCTTTCAATGGCTGGGTTTCTCTCGTTGACTATAGTGCAATCTGTACTAATTTACCACTTAAGTTCCCTTGGACTTTGAAATACACTCATCACTCACTGCAGCTCAGCCTAACCCTTTGCTGCCACTGCAGGCATTTTCTTGATTCCTGAAGCATTTTTCTCCTTAAATGTCCACCAGATACACGCATACTTCATTGATCATCCTAAAATCCCTTGATAATGATAAGTAATATTTCAGCTAAAAAAAAAGCGGTGCAAGAAAAAAAAAGGAAGCCATTCCGAGTTGACTAAGAAGGCATCTCACATCATTTCCATTTTAAAAGCTCTATAATCCTTTAAAGCAGGTACCTTTTGAAAATTAGGGTCTCTACCTATCTATACACACAGTGGGTACATGGCTATTGTAACCCAGTTTTCCTGGCTAGAATCATGCAGACAACAGGCAGCACTTTTTAAATAGAATGTCGGTTCTGTAAATAGCAAGAGAAGAGAGGAAGGTATCAGAGGATGTAGTTTCCTCCAAGTCCATGGTTTTCAAAGGTAGCTTCTTTGTGCACAACTGAGACATACACTGTGCTTTGTCTCTGACAGTGAAGCCTGCAGAAGCTCGGCTGGATGCCAAGGGAAAGGAGAAGAAAAGCATACATGAGAAAGAGAAACAGAAAGAGAAAGAAAGGAGAGGACAGGAGGACAGAGGCAAAACAGAATGACTTACGGAATGTTGGATTTTCTTTAATACTTTTTTTTTCTTTTTGTCATTATTGGGAAGAAGAAAAGAGACTGTTGTCAAGGGTTGGTGACTGGGTCAGAATCTTTCAGAATTGGTGAACAGGTCTTTGCACTAGACTGACAGAGAAAAAAGAAACATGCTAGAATAATTATAAAGGGTGGAGCTGTCAAAAAAATCTTTGACTCACTGGGTGCCTCCCTGTAACGCCAAAATGAATCATTCCTAACTAGAATCATCAATTGTCTTAGTACACTTGTAAAATAAGGCCAAAGTATATGCCTCTGCACCCATTTTCAAAAAGGAAAGGTAAATAGAGAATGAGATTTCCTGACACGATTCTACCTTCTCTATATTTGTGACAATAGTTCAGCATGATTTTCATATAACAAGCTAATTGGCCCTTGTCTGTATTCACTCTGCTTACAAAGATTTACAAATATATGACTTATGAAAGTTTTGCTATGAACACATCATTTTCTCCATACAACTCAGTGATGTCTTTGGAGGATACTTATTTCAAGCAGTTAACACCTGACCCCAATTTCTGTGGGTAATTAGTGAGCTAGATAACCACACAAAGTGGGTAATTATTTAGTACCCAAGGGTATGCTAGAAGTGGGTAGTGGCTTTGTTAACAAAAGCATATCTCTAATTATTGTATCTACGATGGGTGTTTTAAAAATACCAGTTACTATATCAAGTGAACCATGATAAATAAGTGAACTATTCTGCTGTCCTTAGCATATACATGTGTATCTTCTATCATGGTTAAGAATATTTACCTCTCTTGCGTGGAGTGTTGTTAAGATTAATTAGTAAACATCTGCAAGACTCTCAGAAGATATGTTGTGCTAGAGAGCTTTTAGATACAGTATTATTATTGTTGTTGTTATTATTACTTCGGCTAATAATCCCTGAATGGGAGAAGCTGAGAGAAGAGATGCTAATGTCTACTGTATGTCTTGCTCTGAAAATACACTTAGATCTCAAAAGTAATGAGTGCGGTTATGGGGTTGGTCTCCTACCTGGCAGGGTGAAACAGGGCTGTAACAGAAAGGTAGATGATACTGCAGTGGTAGCAGGCTCAGGTTAGAGCAGAGGAGCTGGGGTAGGCCTTGGGGACAGGGAGGAGCTGACGAAGGAGTCAGTGATGGGCAAGGAAGGAAGCTGAATCAGCTCGACCACACCCTCCTTCCAAAGTCCTTCTCTCCTTCCCTTTGAGAAGCAGCAAATATGAACAAAAATCCCCAAAGAGGAGGTCTGTGTGAGTCCTGGGGCTAACTCAGAATAATGACAATCCATCAGGCAGTTACAATAGTATTTATTCTGGAGAAGAACCATCAGAACAAATGCAGAGATGTTTTTAAATATTGCAGTGTTGAGAACAGGCACACACAGATCAGTCTCAGGTATCTTTAACCCAGGACATGAGCAGGGATGAAGAAACACTTTCTAATTTAATTGCTTTTATGAATCACTCCCAGGAGGAGAAAGGGGTATTATTTACTGTTGCTGAGAAGGAATGAAAAAGAAAGGAAGAAAAGAAGGGGGGGAAAAAGGAAAAGAAAACCCCATGCTTTTGAGGACCTTAATTCTGTACAGTAACCAAGCCTTGAAAACAAAAACAACAGAAACTTACTGCTTTCTCTGTGAACGTCCATCTCCTTGAGCTG